TAAAAATAAGAAAAATAAAAACCAATTTATAGAGCCAATAAATTAATAAATTACAATATTATCAATTATACTATATACATTGCATTATATGTTATATATTTTTGTTAGTCTTAAGGAAATATCATTCTAACATAATTTATATTTTTTTTAAGAAATAACATTTGCTTAAATAAATCAGAGTTTAAATAATTATGTTTTGTAGTTATAAGATTTTCTGCTTTACTAAAAAGGTGCTTGTTGGATGTAGAAGTAGCTGGAATGCACAAATATTGCATGCTATTTTGCTTAGTATTGAAAGGTTATTTTGTTAGCTGTTCTACTATTTTAATAGACATTTTACACTTAAAATTTTTGAAAGTGTAAGATAAACTTGAATTTCTTTATTAATTTCAAGATTCTGAATAGAGGATATGTATATGGCAGCTAATAATGCATTTTCTTTCTTATTATCTTTTATTTGTGTTATATCATATAATGTTGATGCTGATTCTTTAAAAAGTTCATATTTAGCTATCAAATAAGTTTTAGCTTTGATCTTTTGACTGTCTGTAGCAAACTCTATTTTTTTATTTCTGGAATTGAGAATTGTTGCAAGAAAAGGTTCATGAGTTGAATAATCTTAATAATAATTTAAAGCATTATATAATGCTAATCTAACTTTACTTAGCATTTTTTCACAGTTTTGTAAAGTGTTAATTTTAATTTGATTTATCTTTATCTTAGTTTTAACATCCAATATTTCTGGTTCATCAGCAAATTCGATCTTTTCTTCCAAATCCAAGTTATTACTAAATGCAGAATTTGAATTATTAAAATCTACTATAACTGAAACTATATTGTTATCTATATTAAATAATTTTTTTAATAAAGATATTGCCAGAAACATGTAAAATATTGTAGAATATTTGCCTTTACCAAGCATTTTGGTAGCATATTTAAAAGGTTGTAAAATTTTAACTAGGTCATTCATTAATTACTATTCGCTTAATGTTAACATAATTCTTTTGAGATGTCATACATCTTTTTTAGCTGCAGAATTATTACTATAGCTTAATGTAACTTGCATAATCTTAATAGCAGGTTTTAATTTAAGAATTTAAACTTATGCCAAATATGATAAGTTCTATCTTGTTGGAATATTAGATATTACTTGTAAATATTTATAATTGTCACCAATATTATCACATATCTTGTGATTTAATGATGCTTGTGCTATTTCTAGCTGTTCACTTTGTTTGAATGATATAAAAAATTATATAAGTCATTTTGCTTATATGATTAATACTTTAATTAATAACAAGTCTTTATTTACAACAAGTTGTAAAGTATGTGCATTACATAAAAGTTGATTAACTTTTTTATTTTACCAATTGTCTTTATCATATTTTTGGCATTGTCAGAGTTATCATAAAGCATTTTTTAAAAATATTCCAATCCTACATAATTAATTTTAAGATAGTAGCAATTGTAGAGCCAGTATGTGGATATCTTAATTGACAAATTGCTAGAGTAATGTCTTGTAGTTCAAATTCTAAATCAATAAATGAACATGTAATACTAATGTATCTTATTTCATTATGTGCTGTCTATAAATCTGTTGTCAAGCCACAATGTTTTATTAAATCATTTATTTTATTATGAAGAGTTGCTGACATCCAATTATAGGCCAAAATAAATTTTATTTTTAATTTCTTTATCACTAGATAATTCATAAGATGGACTAAGTGCTATTGAATATTTTATAAACTTTGGGCTTTCTAGTAGATAAAATAGTTATAAATCAGTAATTATAAATTCAACTAAGGCTCTATTAACTTGTTCTTTATAAACAGTATTATTTCTTGTTAGTTGATGAAATAATTTATCAAGTGTTAGCTAGTCCAATTCACATCTTCCAAATTTTGTAATTTCATGCTTATTTTGGAGATAATTACTAAAATTTTCTGTGCCACCATCTGTTTCAATTATATGATTGCATTTAAGTTTATATTTTTTTAGTTTTTTTATACTGGTCTTTGGATCCATAATTAGTAGATAATTCTGTAAAATAATCACATATCCAACTTCTTTTTCTTGATCCTTCTCTTTTTTTGGGTTCATTAGATTTATCATTGTCTAGTAAAAGTGTTATAGTTGTGATGTTCATCAAAGAAACCCTTATTAGAGTCTTTGCTAAAACTTTCTCTACTGCTTTTTATTTTTATTAATTAATGTTTATATGCTACACAGAGCAAGCAATAAACTAGTATTTATTAGATACAATTTTACAATGAAGTAAAAAAATAGGGTACATATCAATTAAACCTTTTTTTTTTATTTATTTATTTATTTATTTATATAATATCATAGTAGAAACTTTAAAATACAATAAAAAATTTAATTACAGAAAAAATTCCTAAAATAAAGATTTCTAAACTACATTTGTGTTGCTAAAAAATA